GAATATCAGGAAAAATTTCTTTACTGAAAGGGTTGTTATGTTCTGAAATAGGCTCCCTAGGGAGGGAGGTGTTTGAGTCATCATCCCTGAACGTGTTTAAAAAGTATTTGGATGTGGTGCTCGGAGACATGATTTAGTGGAGGGTTGTTAGTTAGGGTATTTTGGTTAAGTTGTGGCTGGACTTGATGATCTTGAATGTCTTTTCCAACCTGAGCAATTCTATGATTCTATGATTCTATGATTCTGTGATTCTATGGTTCTATAAAGTTTAAAAAGAAAGAAGCAGTCAAGCCAGTATTTTCACATTTGAGAACATAAATATTTCTAAATCTCTTTGCAATGTTAAGACTTGTTGACTTCCTGCTCAGCTAGACAGCCAAACAGCTGTTTTAATATTTTCACCACTCAACATATTCCATAGAATTAAACATGAATCTTTCAAGCATACGTAAATGTAGTTCTATTACCGATGCAATGTGATCTAAAATAAATGGATTCTTCTCACTAAGAAGTGTTTGCAGGAAGCTTCCATGTGACTATTGGAATCATAAATAGTCTTGTTTGAGATGGAATCAAGAGAGAAAGGAATATTTCTCGAATTCAAGTCATGTTAGTCAAATGGAGAACTCTAAGAAAGATTGGACTAATAATTCTTAAAAAAAGAGTCTATTTCCGTCTATTAACTTAAATGAAATCCAAATGACATACCTAAATGTAGATATTCATTGTGAAGCTATCCCAAGTTTGGTGGGAATCCCAGCACAGATTAAAATCTAATTATCTGTCTCAACCAACAGAGAGATTTGCATGCATATTATCTATATTTTATACTGAACTAGAAAATGAAACTCTTTCTCTATGCAGGTAGAAAAAAACTTACAAATCCAGCTTAATGTGAAAAACAGAAATCTATTTTAACCCTATGTTGTTGGTTTTATGTTCCTTTAAGTACTTTAAGGACAGCAAAGTATCTTATTCAATTTAAAAATTCGGAATTTCACAATAACTGTCACAAATTTAAGATGACAACGAAAAAGCATTTATAGTATTCAGATTATATTCAAATTCTTAGCAGTGACCAACTTGGATGAGCCAAATGAGGATAGCATAATTAGTAGCATTTGCCATATTTACCCAGTGTAAATTTTTTTGGATACACCATCTTCATACAGAAAGATGGAAATATTTAACTTTCTCTTGATGCTTGACATATACTCATGTATGAATAAATGCTGTAAATATTAGTAGAAAACAAACAACCGTGTGTAGGCTCTTAGGAAAGTTCAGTAAGACATTTGATCCCATTAAATTTTAGCAGTGTGATTTGGACAAAAATGTGTTATTAGATATTTTAAATGATCATGAAAATTCTGGTAAGAACTTACAACTGTGCTATTATATTTCTTCAGTAACTGACCTACAAAATCATATCAAGTCTTATGTTTCTCTTAGTTATATAATTGTAGACTGGGATTACTCAAAGTGTTTATGTAGGAAAAGAAACAGTGAGGTGCAATGCATCTTCTGCAATAATAATAATAATAATAATAATAATAATAATAATAATAATAATAATAATAATAATAATAATAATAAATTATATGTAAAAAATAGCTTAATCCAAAACAGTTTTCTATCAGTAAATATGTAAGCCTATATCCCATACACCTGACCTATATCCAGAGAAACCATCCAATAGATTAAGAGAAAAGTGTTATTTTCATTAGGAATAACCAGTAGTAAGATAGAATATCAGAGTTTTCTATTATGTTGCAAAGAAATTAACTGCCATAATGGTGGCATCTCTTCACAGCTGAGAAGCCTTGTCTGGTCCTAGGCATGTACCCATCACTCAGCAACAACCAAACCATTGCTTATTAATATGGTCTGTGCTTAAGCCAAGAAAATTAATTTTTACTTTGTTGTGTGATATCTGACAACTTACCTCTTGACAAGTACCTCATACAATGCTACTATAAGCCTGTTATGAATAGT